CGTCTAAGTCCCCGGGGAGGGGGAAGGGCGGAGGGCCTGGCGCCCACCACTCACCTTCTGGATGGAGGACTTGCCGCTGCGCCGGAGCCCCATAAGCAGGATCCGCGGCTTGGAGCTGTCAGCACCCCCAGGGCCACAGCCTCCGCCGGCCCCCGCCCCAACCCCGCCGCCCGCGGCTGCCGCCTCCTCTTCCTCCTCCTCCACGCCGTAGCCGAAGTCCTTTGGAAACGAATCCGCCGCTCCGTAACTCCCGGCGAGGGGCGCATCCTCCGTCCCGTACTGCAGGGACATGGTGCCGGAGCCACCGCCGCCCGCGCCCTGACAGGCCAGGCCAGGCCAAGCCAAGCCAAGCCAGGCCGCCGCCTCCCCCGGCAGCCGCCACCGCCGTCCGGCCCGCCCCCTAGATCCCCTCTCTCATAGGATCCGCGCCCAGACCCAGCCCTTCATTGGTCACCGAAACTGCCACTCGAGAGCAGCAGGGTAGGTGGTGCCCCGTCACGTGCTCGGAATCACCTGACTGAAAGCCTTGGAGGGGGAGGAGAAGGAGGAGTCACGAGGAGCTTGCCCCGAAGCGGCCGCGCCTCTCAGCTCCGGCCCTCGGCCCCAACTTGCACCTCTGTCCTGCTGAACCACGCTCCGTGCCCCTTGGCGCTTCCCCACCCTCTGCCGGGCTCCGGAGATCACCACAATGGGGAATGCTTTCTGGGCGCATTCGGGAATTTATTATACTTGTGAAAATGTACTCGCCCAACCAATACGATGCCGACGATATCCTGGGTACCAAGGAGCACAAAACTGGAATCGACTTGGACCCTGCCTGCCCTGAAGTTCCTCGAAGGTTAATAAATACCTCTACGTAAGTGGCTTCGGAACGAGATACGAAGTGGGAAAGTCATAAGTACAGATCAAAAACGTTTAGGAGTTGGCAGTCTACAGAAGTAGCGCCTGAGCAGGTCTGGTGGTGGTGGTTGTGTGCGGTGGAGTCGGATATTTGGGATATGCAAAGGTATGGCGGAGGAGCAAGCCGGACTGAGGGCAAAGCGCCAACCCAAGCTGGGTGAGTGTGATGCGAACAGCTCATTCTCTTACTGTACCGACCCTGATAGGAAAGCAAATGCAAGCAAGCTAGGACGCCTTCTATTTCTAGAGCACATCGCTGATTGTGGATGCTGCTGCCACTTCACACTCCAGATGACTCAATTTCCCCTTTTTCACCTAGTCATAGTCTTTATCTCCAGTTATTGCATCTTCTATGAACTCCTTTGGGTCGGAGACCAAAGGAAAAAGTTAATGAAAGCAAACCAAAGCTTGTCACCAAATTTGTTGACAAGAGATCTTCCTCTTAAAGCACTGCCTTTTTTTCTTTCTTTCTTTTTTATTTTAAAGGGTCAAGGGATAAGCACATCTTCCAGAGAGACTGACTTTTGGCTGTGAAGGGAAAGTAATACTGAACACTATTTGGGACTCGCATAAAACCGAAAATGGAACTTAAAAGGTAGGACAGACACCCATTTAGAAGGCAGCTAGTCCAGCCTCTCACAGGAGTCCACTCCACAGCAGTATCTGACTGATAAGACAGGCAGAATGCCCTTAAATAATTCCAAGGGAGGAAAGCTCACTATTTCACATTTTCACATTGATACATGTTTGTTTAGAAGTTTCTTAATCAACCCAAAAATCATACTCCCTGGGGCTTATAATGCACTACAGGAGCAGTCTTCATCTTTTTCACGCAGTCATTTCACGAGTACATTGTAGTCATCATCGTCCACTTGTCTTCTTTTCCAGGTTAAACGTCCTTAGTTCCTTCCACCATTCCTTCTATAACTTTCTGCAATGAAACGTTCTGTGTCTGCCTTGTTGAATATGGTAGCCACTACCTCTTGTGGATTTAGCAGCTGAAATGTGTGGCCGAGGGACTGAATTTTTCATTTTATTTCATTGTAATGTGACTAGTGTCTACATTCACTATCAGAAATCAAAGTCCCTTTCCCAGAACTAATATTACTAAGAGACAAATACAACTTTAAATTACTGACCACTCTCCTTGACAGGCCTTAAACTTGCCAATATCTAGCAAGTGTCTGACACCTGTAGTATAGTCCCGCCATTTATTTAGTATCTAGACAATATTTCTATTAATGCTTTCCTAAATGGAATTTTAAAAAAGATGTAAGTGGTTCACATTGATTATCACTGGAATTTGTTAGCAATTCTAGTGCCTACACTGCTTCTCTGAACCTAAATACAGGACTTGATACTTCAGTCTTTTGGTCTAAGCCCAACAGGTGTTACTCTCCAGGTGGTTAATCATTTTAAAGCGTGTTTCAATATATTCTGCCAACCAGTGCTTTCAGCTTTGGGGCACTTACAGATTTGACATTACTATCTGATCCACATGTAGTCCTTTACTCTTTGCAGGGCACTTTTATATCCATGATGTTTCATTTGATCCTCAACAACCTTGTTGGCAAGATATGAAATGTTCATTTAATATATAGATAAGCTGCAGCATAGCAGGAACCAAGTGGGCGGGATCCTTTTTCTACTAGATTGACCATCTTATCAAGTATACCATCTTCAGCCAAATCCTGGACGGAATTGTTGAAAAGGATTGCCCAGAGGCAAGGCTGACCATGAATTCTTAAAAACAGATGCTTGTTCTTGTTAAGTGCCATCAAGTCGTTCGGACTCCTAGCAATCCTGTGTAGGGTTTCTGCAGAGCGGCTGGTGAATTTGGACCACTGACTTTGTGGTCCAGTGCTTATCCCACAGTGCCACACTAGGACCCCAAACAGCAGTATAAGGTCCCAAACCCAAAAACTACTGTCATAGAGTCAATTCCTATTTACAATCCAAACCCATTATCTTGGAGTCAATTCCAACTAACAGTGAGTGACCTATGTTGTTGTTAAGTAACGTGGAGTTGGTTCCAACTCAGCAACCCTGCACAGGGTTTCCAAGGCTGTAAATCTTTACAGGAGCAAAACACCTCATCTTTCTCCCACGGAACTGCTGGTAGTTTCGAACTACCGACCTTGCAATTAGCAGCCCGATTCGTAACCACTACGCTACCAGAGCTCCTGAGTAAACTGCTCCATGAAAGTTCTAAGGCTGTAAAACTTGAGGAAACACACTCCATACCTTTCTCCCTTCACAGCAGCTGGTGGGTTAGAACTGCTAAGCTTTTATCTCTCAGAACTTTAACCACTGAGCCACTAGGGTTCCTTTAAGCAGCCTGGTTCTATCTAAAAGTGTGATTGATTATCCAACCCACATATTGTCATTTAGTTCAAAAAGGTTTTAAAAAAAAAAGCACCTGATTATAATCCTGTGGAAAAAGAATTACATGAGGGTTGCCCGCCAGAAATAATTTTTACTCGTCTACGTGTATACCAGCTGCTTAACGGAGCTGTCTCCCTCTCTCAAAAATCTCAGGGTGCCATATTTTATTATTTTTATGGTTCTTAGCACATCCTATTCTATATTGTAATTGCTTACATATGAAGAGGGAGGGGGAGCTTCAAAAAGTTCATGAAAAAAACTCATTATCTTTTAACTCAGTTTCCCAAACTTTTTGAAACCCCCTCATACATGCCTTATAACATCAAGTCATTCACCCAGAACTTAGCCTATTGCCGTCATTGTAGGAGGCACTCAATTGGTAAGAAGTAAATCAATCAATTCAAATTCATGTTCTTCCAACAGTAACTGCCACGACTTAACACCACCCTGATGCCAAAAATGAACTTGTGAGACTACAAGAGGCACAGATCATTGGCTACATCTGCCAATGACGAATTAAAATGCCCTTATAATTGGCTTGGTCTCAGTTTCCAGCAGATATTGAGACTTGCTAGTTAAACCAGCTTTCATTGGATTTATTGTTTTCTATATTGTGGTTTGACCAAAAACTAAAGACAGGTTCCCTAACAATAGGGATAGAATACAGATAGAAATCAAACTACTTCTTAATAATGTCACTCAATCAATGAGTAAAACAAGTACTCAATAAAACAATGTCTGGCTGTAAGTCTTCCAAAAGAACAAGAACTAATAAACAAGCATATAGTGCTTTACCATTTACAAATCTTTCACATACATTCTCATTTGACCCTCACAACAGCCCTGTGAGGTAGGCAGCCCAGATAATCTTCCCGTTTAACAAATGAGGAAAGCAACTGTTGGAGTGGTTAACTGATATGCTCAAATTCCTAAAGTCAGTAAATGGTTTGTATTAGTATCAGTCTTTGGCCTGAAATTTCAGCACTCAACATCCCCCCTCATATCTGCCCTACCTACGTCACCAGGATAGTAAAGATAAAATGAACTGAAGGCTAGAAAAATACTTTGAGGAAAAATGCACTATATAATTATACCCACAAATTAAAATCCCCCACGATATATGGCTCATTCCCCTTCTCATCCCAGCTTAGATGTGAACCCAGAATTTTCTGTTGCTTCTGTTTCTGTGCTCACTAAGCAATTTTCACAACTGCTGTCATAGCAAATAGAAAAATAATTAACACAGAAGGCCAGTGTGCAACTAGGACCACTGAAACACAGAGCAAAGCAAGGCAACATTATCAGATAGAGCATGATTGCATAGAAGAGAAACGTGGTGTCAGAGTTCAGACCGGCACACAGTTATCTAAGGCAAAGTGGTGGCAAAGAAGTGTTACTCCTTCTGCATCATATAAACAAAAACAGAGGGCTCATGGGAACCTGTGCAAAGCATCTTATTATGTCACTCAGAGCTCTGCAGCTGCTAGAGGGAATATAAACAACAGTGTCCTCTTCAATTTAAAGAATAACCATAGCCTGTGCTCATATCCCAAACTAAGCCAAGGAATAGCTCCAGACTAAGCTTCCTTGGTTAAAATACAACCAGTGCCATCATTCCTAATCAGGCTGGCCAACAGAATGTCTTTTAAGATAGTGAAAACTATTTTGATGGCTATATTCAGTTCGTTTCAGGATTTACTTTGGATTCTGCCAAAGAAAGTTACACTGAGTTTTTATTGAGAATTCTAAGTATGTTTATAACAAAGTTTGTGATATGTGAATTTAACATATTAAAACTTTCATAGCATCTGTTCAGAAAAGATTATATACTATACAAACTATTCAAGTCATACAAAACCATTTTTCAGTATCTTTTTCAATAGAGAAGCATCCTATTCAGCACGCTTCTCCTCCTGAGGTGGTTCATACTGAACAAGCTGTGGGACAAAGAGAGAGGAGGTTTAGGTGAATTTTATTTGACATTGGATAAAAAATAATAATAAAACAAGTACGAGTTAACGATTACGTTTCATTACTGAACCAGTAAACTTGTTCAATACCAGCTTCTAGACCTATTCTTTCAAAAGTAATTAATGATTTAAGATTTAATACAATTGACCCCAGTAAAAGCCCTTTTCAGATAGAACTGCACAATACTAGGAAACTCCGATTTCATTCCAGTTCACAACTGTACTACTCGAACACATGATGTGCAGTTAGCTCTATTTTCCCAAATACTGAAACTTGCAGCTTATATTATGGAACTTTCCTCCTCAAACTAAAAGTTTACTGAAATTTCCCCTTAAAAGTAAGAGAGAAATAATTATGTAACATGTATTAATAGAACCAGTTAAGGAAGAGCAATTAACTAATACCTTTGACTTAAAAGCTGCCAAAAAATGACTTAACTGACATGAATTTTTTTCTCAACATGAATCTTGGATAGTTTGAGATAGACTGCATTTTCTTGTAAGCTAAATTATGGTACCCTGAGAAAAAGATAAGCTAAGGAACGATTTGGGTTCTGCCCATTAGCTGTGGGATCTGAGATGCGGGTTTAACTTCATCGTGCTTCTGTGTCCTCACCTGTTACTTATCTGTTTCACTTATCTTGCAAAGTTGTTGAGCTAAAACACGTTGTTAGAAGTGCAATAATGATGTAAAAACGAATACATGATGTGATACAGAATGTGGTAAAACCTCAAAAATTTATAGTTCATTAGTTTGAAGATCATGGAAATTCTCATGGGAATTTGAAAGAAAAAAAATGTAAGTAAGTTTACAGAGGTTAACTACCCAGAGCCACAAGGGACAGTCAAAAAGTTCATGGAAAAATGGAATTAAAAGATAATGGAGTAATCATGGCAATGAAACAATATACGATAGGATGAATGTAAAGCTAATGTTCTCCCATGTAAATTATCACATAATTAAAAATAAAACATTTAAAAAAAAAAAAAAAAGATAATGGAATTTCCCCATAAACTTTCTGAAACCCCCTCATATGACCATGCAGCGTCTACACTAGCAACTCTTAAGAGGAGGTATTCACAAAACAGTGTCCCTACAGTCACCTACTTATATGTTTAAGAAATCCCAGAACAGTTCAGTTCCTTATAAGCAGCATTAACCAATATTCTCATCTTTTTGTTGAATGCAGGTTCCCAAAAATCTCTTGACCACACGTTGCTTATCTTATCACAGTTGGTCTTAGGGCTTTCTAATGGGCACATAAGTTCAGTCTTGCAAGTAATATAGATTGATTATTTACCCTCCTTCCTTCCCTACTGTCCATTCTGGTGAGGTTTTGATCATACAAGGAACTTCAAGAAGTATGGGGGAAAAATGGAATTAAAAGATAATGTTCCACAAACTTCCTAACACTCATCTCCTATAATCATTAAAGCAAAAATTCTTTTAATATGAAGGTTTTTTTAAAGTTTACCTTTGCTTTCAATTTTTTATTTTCTTCTACAATAGCTTCATATTTCTCTTTCATTTCTGCCAATTCTAGGCGAAGTAGCTCTATTTCTGGATTTTCTGGGGTTGTAGCTCCTAAGTGATGCTTTAAAAAACTATTATAAATGTTAAGAAATTTACTTCTTACAGTTGAATAAAATTAATGAAATAGCTCAGCGTAGCAAGTTTTCAATAAGCAGATCTTGTTGAATATTTTTATAAATATGTTAGCTATGTGAGAAAATAGTAGTATCAAAAGTAAGCCTTTTATGTCTGACTTCAAAAAGGGAAAGGATACTCCAAAGCACTATTAGGTTTCTCTGGTTCTTCATATAAGGCTACCAGCACTGCAAATGGAAAAAGAGAAAAAGCAACAATTAAAGTCTTGAATGTTAATATATTCTATTCCATAGACCAATAAGTATTAAGTGTCTAGTGTATGCCAACCACATTGCAAGGCACTATCCATTCTGTGATGAACAAGACAGATAAGGTTTCTGCTCTCAACAAATTTACAGTCCAGTAGAAGAGATACACAAGGAAGAAAAAGAGTTCTAAACCACAATACAAGATTATGGGGTTATGGGAACACACTGGAGGAGCAGATTGGAAGAGCACAGTTCTCAGCCAAGTGCTTCAGGGAAGGATTTCTAAAGAAAAGCAAATAGGACTTCAGGCCAGGTGATGGGTGTTTCAGATAAAATGGGAAGGCCTGGGGCAAGAGAACACCCCATGGAGTAACTGAAAATTCAAGTATAACTGGACAAAGTTGGGAGTAATGTGGCAGAAGGGGACACGGCAGAGGTGGTTAGGACCCAGACAATGGAGAGTCCTGTTAGTCTAGTTTGGTTTTGATCTTCGGATCAACAGGTATATACTTAAAACCATTTTAAGCAGGACAGTTACAGATCAGTCTTGTGCAGTACGGAAGATAGATGGAGTGGGGCAAGAATAAAGGTTGGAAGCTCCGTTTTAGAGGTAGATGTGGCAATCCAGTTTTAAATTGTATAGCGACCTGCACCAGATAGAGTGATAGGAACAGTAATGTGAGTGGAGTTGAGAAACTTTAGGGCAGTATTTACTGGTCTTAGGTAATTACTGGAGACCAGTAAATTCAAAAGTATTCTTCAAGAACCAAGTTCCATACACAATATGCCAAATACTCACTAACCAAAACCTTCTGGCAGTAATCAATATGCTCAAATCAACATTAAAATAATAGAGATTTCATATTCAATAGCTCATGTCAGCACTACCCTCCTAGAATTTACTCCTTAAATAAGTAGCCCTCTAAACTGGTGGTTAACCTTTTTTGTGGGTCATGGAACCCTTGGAAAAATCTGATCAAATCCAAGGAAAATGGAACCACATACCAAAAAAAAAAATAAAAAGTGCACATCTATATCCCAAGTTAAGTAGTTTTATAAACCAGTTTATGTACTTCCCCCTTGTTTTTGAGTTTTCATTACTTATCACAATTTATATTGTGTGGTGGGGAATCAAATGAATAACTACTTATAACAACGTGCACTGACTTTTAATAATTACTCTTCACCTAAGGACACTTACCAACATTACTTTGTTAGCAATTGTCATATTTATACCACTGATAGCCTCTCCTGCTCTCTCTGTCCTTTCAGCATCTGACAATTACCAGTAAACCAGCTGCCATCCAGTTGAGGATGCATATTGCCAGGCCCTTCTTCCCAGACACCTATGGTTGGGTACAAACTGTCAAGCTCTCAGTTAGTAGTCGAGTGCTTAACTATCTGCACCACACAGCGACTCTCTGATGGTTACAAACCCATTGCTGTAGAGTCTATTCAGACTCAGCAAACTCAGGACTGCCCACAGGGTAGTCTTTACAGAAGCAGACTACCACATCTATCTCTCAAGGAGCAGCTGGTTGATCCAAACCACTACCTTTCCCTTACCAACCATACACTTAAGGCACTGCTCCACCAGGGTTCCCTCTGATATTCACCCACCTACTACCATTGTCATTCCGGGCATAGTAAACCATGTGGTTGTCAGATTCAGAATGGTCAATACCAGTCAGTCCATTTCAGCTCACTAATGCCTAAGATATCGATGTTCATGTGTTCCATTTCATTTTTAACAATCTCCAATTTTCCTAGATTCATACTTCATACATTCAATGTTCTGATTATTAATGGGTGTTTACAGCTGTTTCTCTTCATTTTGAGTTGTGCCCCATCAGCAAATAAAGGCCCCACAGGCTTTACTCCATTCAAGTCATCATGGTCAACTCTATGAGGAGGCAGCTCTTCCCTGTCACATTTTGAGTGCCTTCCAACCTGAGGGGCTCATTTTCTGGCACTATATCTGACAGTGTTTCTCTACTATTCATAAGGTTTTCAGTGACTAAATATTTGGAAGTAGTTCATCACTCCTTCTTCCTTCTCTGTCTTCGTCTGGAAGCTCATCTGAAACCTGTCCACCTTGGGTGAAGCTGCTAGTATTGAAAATACCTGTGGCACAGCTTCCAGAATCACAGCAACTCACAAGCCACCACAATACAACAAACTGACAGATAAAAAAGAACATATCCAGATCAGCCATGAGATACAAAGCTGTCTGTGATAGGATAGTATCCATTCACCTACAGGGAAGACCAGTTAATACCACTATTATTCAAAGTTACACACCTAACACTAAAGCCAGTGAGGATGAAATTGAAGAAGTCTACCAATTTCTTCAATCTGAAATTGTTCAAACATGCAATCTAGATGTGTTGATCATAACTGGTGACTGGAATGCAAAGGTTGGGAACAAAGAGGAAGAATAAGTAGTTGGAAAATATGGCCTTGGTGATAGAAATGATGCTGGAGATCACATGATAGAATTCTGCAAAATCAATGATTTGTTTATTTCAAATACCTTCTTTCAACAGCATAAGAGACAACTATACACATGGACCTCACCAGATGGAATACAAATAAATCAAATTGACTACATCTGCAGAAAGAGATGGTGGAAAAGCTCCATATCATCAGCCAAAACAAGGCCAGGGGCAGATTGTGTAACAGACCATCATCTGCTCAAATGCAAATTCAAACTGAAGCTGAAGAAAGTGAAAACAAGTTCATGAGAGCCAAAATATGACCTTGAGCATATCCCACCTGAATTTAGAGATGATCTGAAGACCAGATTTGATACATTAAACACTAAAGATTGAAGACCAGAAGAGTTGTGGGATGACATCAAGAACATCATACATGAAGAAAGCAAAGTCATTGAGAAGACAAGAAATAAGGAAAAGGTCAAAATGGATGTCAGAAGAGAAACAAACTTGCACTCCAGTGTAGAGATGCTAAAGCAAATGGAAGAAATGAGGAGGTCCAAGAGCTGAACAGAAAATTTCAAAGGTCAGATTGAAAAGACAAAGGCAAGTATTGCAACAAAATGTGCAATGATCTCGAATCAGAAAACCCAAAAAGACCACACTCAGCATTTCTCAAGCTGGGTGAACTGAAGAAAAAATTCAAGCCTTGACTTTCGTTATTGAAGGATTCTCTGGGAACATTGTTGAATGATGCAGAAAATATCAAAAGAAGATGGAAGGAATACAGAGTCACTGTACCAAAAAGAACCATTTGAAGAGGTAGCATATGATGACAAGCCAATGATACTCAAGGAGGAAGTCCAAGGTACATGGAAGGAATTGGCAAAGAACAAGGCACCAGGAATTGATGGAATAAAAAATGAAACCTTTCAAGAAAGTGAGGCAGCACTGGAGGCACTCACTCGTCAATGCAAAGAAATTTGAAAGACAATTATCTGGGCGACAGATTGGAAGAGATCCATAAGTGTGCCCATTCCAGAGAAAGGCCCAACGGAATGCAGCAGTCATCGAACAATCTATATGATATCCCATGCAAGTAAAGTTTTACTAAAGGTAATACAGAAATGGCTGCAAGCATACATTGACAGAGAACTTCCAGAGGTTCAAGCTGGATTCAGAAGAGGCCGTGGAATGAGGGATATCATCGCTGATGTCCGATGGATCTTGGCTGAAAGCAGAGAATACCAGAAAGATGTTTACCTGTGTTATACTGACTACACAAAAGCTTTCGATTGTGTGGATCATGACAAGCTATGGACAACACTGCAAAGCATGAGTATTCTGGAACACTTAATTGTGCTCATGAGGAATCTGTACATGGACCAAGAGGCAGCTGTTCAAACAGAACATGGGAATGCTGAATGATTTAAAATTAAGAAAGGTGGTGATAGGGTTGTATTCTTTCACCTTACTTATTCAGCCTGTATACTGAGCAAATATTCCAAGAAGCTGGGTTCTGTGAAGAAAAACGTGACATCAGGATTAGAGGAAGACTCATTAACAACCTGAGTGAGATATGCAGATTATACAACCTTGCTTGCTGATAGTGAAGAGGACTTAAAACATTTACTGATGAAGATCAAAGAGCACAGCCTTAGGTATGAATTGCATCTCAATGTAAAGAAAACAAAAATCCTCACCACTGGACCAATAAACAATATTCTTATCAGTGAAGAAAAGATTGAAGTTGTCAAGGACTTCATTCTTCTTGGATCAACTATCAACACTCACGGAAGCAGCAGTCAAATCAAATGACGTATTGCATTAGGCAAACTGCTGCACAAGACCTTTTGAAAGTGTTGAAGAGTAAAGATGTCAGTTTGAGGACTAAGGTGCACCTAACCCAAGCCATGGTATTTTCAATAACCTCATATGCATGTGAAAGCTGAACATTGAATAAGGAAGACTATAGAAGAATTGATGCTTTTGAGTTATGGTGTTGGAGGAGAATATTGAAAGTGCCATGGGCTAACAAAAGAACCAACTGATCTGTATTGAAAAAATAAGTACAGCCAGAGTGCTCCTTGGAGGCCATGATGGCCAAACTTTATCTCTCATACTTCGGACATATTGTCAAGAGGGACCAGTCGCTGAAGAAGGATATCATGTTTGGCAAGGTAGAGGAGAGTCAGAGAAAAAGAGGAAGACCACTGCGAGATAAATTGGCAAAGTGGCATCATCAATGGGCTCAAGAGTGGCAACAATTGTGAGGTTGGTCCAGGATCAGGCAGCTTCATTCTGTTGTACATAGGGTTGCTATCATTCGGTACCGACCAGATGGCACCTAACAACAACAGCAAATGCTATTGAGTTGATTCCAAGTCATACCAACACAATACAACAGAGGAGATCTGCCCCTTAGAGTTTCCAAGACTAAATTTTAACAGGAACAGGCAGCTTCATCTTTCTCCTGAAGAGTGGCTGGTGGGTTTGGACCAATGACCAACTCAATTCTTAAAGACACTGTACTACCAGGGTACTCTTTTAATTCTTCTATTACTTTTTCCTTTAAATTAGATGCTATAACCTGTTTTTTCTTACATTGTCTTACAGTCTACAGAATCTTAATTTTGTAAGACATAGATATAATACTGTGTTATCGCTGTGGGTTAATGCGCCAGACTGCAAAGCCATTTGAACTGCAAGGTTGGCAGTTCAAGCTTACCAGCTGCTCCTCAGAAACCCTATACAGGGTCGCTTTGGGTCAGAACCAACTCAACGGCACTTCACAACAACAACTGTTGTTAAGTGATGTCAAGACAGTCCCAACTGATAGTGACCCTATATAGGGTTTCCAAGAAGCAGCTGGTAAGTTTGAATTGCCGACCTTGCAGTTCAAACTGACCTTGCAGTCCAGCGCATTAACCCACAGCCCCACACCAGGGCTCCATAAGTACCCTAGGCCTTTCTTAAACATCTTCCCACACGCCATTTCTTTCAAGTCTAAATTTTCACAAATGGCATTTCACAAATGATATTACATTGTGGTTGACAATGACAGAAGATAATGTAAATATGGCAAAACAGTTAAGCACTCAGCTGCTAACTGCAAGGTTGGCAGTTTGAACCCACCAAGCAACTCTTTGAGAGAAACACCCATTAATCTGTTTCTGTAAAGATTACAGCCAAAAAGTATTCTCTGGTGCATTTCTTTTCTGCCACATGGGGTCACGATGATCAGAATCAACTCAGTGGCATCCAATAATGTTTCCTGTATTCTTCTGTAGATGAACTGTACTTCCCTTTATACAAGCTTTTAGCTGATCCTGTTTGCCCTTTTGTCTTAGCAACTAGGATTTTTAGGAGCTGATATAGTGCTCAAAATAATTAATCAGCTTACATGCTGCTAAAAATTCCTCTTCTTCCAAATGATACATCACCATCTTTTATCTTTAACTGCCTTGCCATTCTGGTCTCCTTCTACTTTCTGGAACTCTTAGCATCATAGACTCTTTCATTCAGGTCTCCTGTTGAGGCCTTCCCCCACCATCCTATATTAAATGGCATACACATTCCACCCATCACGCTTCATGCCTGTACCTTGCTATGTTTTTATTCTCAACACTCAACCCCTAGCTGACACTATATATTTATTACCTCTCTCTCCCTTCTAGAATATACCTCCTAAGAGCAGAGACTTCCCCTCAACTGTGTATCCCGGGTATGGTGCTGTAGGATTAGCACTGGACTGCAAACCACAAGCCAAGCAGTTCAAACCCACCAACCACTCCTCAGAAACCCTATACAGTGTCACTGTGAGTTGGAACCGACTCGACAACACTTAATAACAACAGCTATATTCCCAGATCGTGAGTCAAACTTGACTCCAAGGCACCTAACAGCATCCCCAGTCCCAGCAACAGAGACTTCAATAAAATGGTTAAATGAGAGAAATGAATTTGTAGATATTTTTGAGGAGGGTGCCAATAGCATTCCAAGCATCTGTGACACATCCAGAGACAACACAACCGGAGCAGGAGCACTTTCACAGAATTGTCCTTTCTTGTTTACTGACGTTTATTTGCAGAGAGATTGGGAGACTCAAAGTGTAAACCAAAGATGATTATGTTGTTAAGTACCGTGAGTCAGTTCTGACTCACAGTCACCCTGTATAGCATTTCTGAGGAGTGGCTGGTGAGTTTGAACCATGGACCTTTCAGTTCAAACCAACCTTGCAGTCGAGGGCTTACCCTACGGGACTACAAAGGGGTGGGGGTGGGGGTCAGGGGCTGTCAAATCAGTACCTAATGCACTACAGAATGAAACAGTGCCTGGTCCTGAGCCAACCTCACAATCATTGCTACATTTGAACCCACTGCTGCTGCCGCTGTGCCAGTCCATCTCCTTGGGGGGGGGTCTTCCTCAAAGACAGGTAGCAATTACAATTTTCTAGCCCATGTACTGTAAATTTACAATCAGCTAAGACTCAGAATTACCTTTCTCCCAGAATTTTCCCTTAAGCTTTGCTTTTGCTCAAAGATCTGTTACCAAATTGCTTATGTTAGAACACTTCCTGTTCTCATAGCTCCTCAGCTTTGCCAGCTCTTGCATTCTACACTCTTGAAAATCCCAGCCAGTTAGTTGAGTGACATATAGCTGACATTCAAATGACTGCTGAGCTAATGAAGTAAGTGGTGCTAATGGTTTCCGAAGGTCTGGTGATCTACTTCTGAAAAATCAGCGTTGAAAACCCAATGGATTAAAGTTCTACTCTGACACCCTTGGGGCATCCAAGCAACTCTACAGCAACTAGTTTAATTAGTAAACAAAACACTGTCTCTTGGAACCTTGTTTCAAACACCTTACTGGTCCATTAAGATCCTGTACCCCAGGTAAGAGATACAGTGTAAACTGTAAGCTTCCGTTTTGAAAAGTGAAAACAAGTATAGTCGTTCTGAGGTACCCTCAAACTCGTAATTCGACTTGAACTTTGAAATCTGCAAAAAGAATTGGTGGGCTAAGAAAGGCCATTGAAAAGTCACAACCAAATTGGTGTTGAATAGCTTGCCATGGGGATTCGGCTCAGGTACTTCAGAGCCCACTTTAAATCGAAACATTTTCCCACTGACCTCTGTGTTCCAGGGAAAACGTTTCCCAAAAGATTCGAACGCTCGTCAAAAACCGTAAGGCGGGAGGTACACGGATATCGAGGTCTTTTACAAATCACGCTCACTGCGGCTGCTCGAAGCAAAGCAACGGAAGTTGGAGAGACTTTGTTAACAGCTGCAATAGTTTCCCTCCCTGGCCCGCAGAGTGGAAACGTGAGCGAGGCTACCCTCACCCGGTCGGCGTTCCGCAGATCACCGCAGAACTACGGCTCCCACCTTGAGGCGCCCGGACGGGTCCCACCTCTCCCTCCTCCACGCCACAGCCCGTCAGGGGCGCAGCGCCGACGAGCACGCTGAGGGCACGAGGAACCCTCTCCTAGTACTTGCTCACCCTTGGTCAGCGTGTCCAGCACCCCCGACTTCTCCAAGTACCTCCGGAACTGCTCGCGTTTCGAGTCGGCGGCCTGAGAAGACACGGCGGATCAGAAGCCGAAGCCAGTAGGGGCCGGAGCAGGAAGAAGGCGCTGCGAGTTCGGCAACACAGCCTCCGCCTCGCTACCTCAGGGCCCCCAAACCTGCGCGCGCGTCCCCGCTCCCACCCGGAGCCGACCAGCGGCTGGCTACCGCCCTCACGCCCCCAGCCACGCCGCGCCCCCCTCACTTTGTAATGGGCCATAGTGACAGCGGCAGCCGCTTAACTAGCGCCCGAGACCGCGGCTGGCGGACTCAGATCGTAATACGCAAGCGCCAAAGAGCGCTTGCGCCTGCGCTCTTCAAAAACTTGGTAGGGGATTGTCGGGGTGGGGCCTGTTTTCATGGCGACCAGGACGCTCTGAATTCCCCACGGAAGGTTGAGAGGAGAGGAGGTTGCGTGTGCACGCCTCTATCTAAGCAGCACCTCGTCTTCCTCTTCCGGTCGGTACAACGCTTCGGTCGCTTAGCGAATGACAAGTTTATGTTGACTCCGGACCAGAGTCCAGGTGGGACTAAAGATTTGCGTGGCGTCCGGGGCGGTGCCTGTGGAGCTGTCGAGGTTTGTTCTGGGGCCTGAGGGGGACTACCCGGAACGGGCAGGGGCGGACTTTTCTCTATTGGAACCTTGGACGCCATGGTGACCTGTGGGCACGACAGATGCAGAGGCACCGTAGGATTTAAATAGGCTTCAGGAGAGTGTGTAGGATCGTGTTCTTTAACGCCACTTTGATTCTACTTGTTCTTTGGCCAACTTGATATGGGCCTTGGGAGGGTGAGCAGTAATACACTTAATAATAAAAGCCTGCCAAAGGACATTCAAGAAGATGGATTGATTCAAGAAGATGGAAGATGGCTGCCAACAGTGACCTCGAGCAAAGCCACAGTGTGCAGGACAGGGCCATGTTTCGTTCTGTTGGACTATGAGTCGAAACCGACTTCGGTACACCTAACAATTAATGTGCCAGTTCTGTGCTAAATATGTGTTTATTTTAGTCTTCGAAGCAAGATTAGGTAATTTGTGAATAGTAGAGTCAAGGGGAGACTTTCTGCCCCCGTAAAGATTTACAACCGTGGAAACTCCTATACAGGGTTGCAATGAGTTGGAACCAACTAGGTGGCACACAACCACCACCACCAGAACCAAGGCTCCAATCAAGGCAACCTGGCCCCAGAACCCCTTTTTTAATCATGATGTTACAAATACACTGATCAAAGGAAAAGCCACCAGTCTTAAAGATTTTGTTTACTAGGGAACAGAGGTGTAATTATGCTCAAGACCCATACATAAAACTGCAGTCTATAAGGAAACAGTTATTAAATCTCAGAGGCAAACAAAATTTACCCAGTACCTAGAAATAAAAGATTGATAACTAAAATGAGTAATTATTCTGAAGGGAACTGTGAAAAAGTAATCCAGATTTGGTTACTCTGTACCTTTGAATTTAGAACTACCTCTTCACAGATCAGAATTAGAGCTGGTTTCCCCATTTTGAAGATCCATGGGTGACACCAGCAGTTTGCACTCAGTTGCTAGCAGGCTGGTGGTTCAAACTCACCCAAGGTTACTATGGAAGAAAAGGCCTGATGATATGCTTTCATACGATTATAGCCAAGAAAACTCTATTGAACAAGTCTATTTTGTAACATAGGATCACCGTGAGTCCGAATCTACTCCATGGTAACAGGTTTGGAGGATGTTCCCCCTTTTTGAAATGGATTCACAGTTGCCTGTCTTAACAGTTCATCCTCAGAGCTGTCCCTGTCCCTATTATGTCCCTGCTTCATTCCCACTAGACCATTTGTATGATAATTTAATGTGCAGAATGTCTAAAAGCCAAGAGCTGTTCAAATCTAAAGGTCTGTGGGAGGCTCCCAATTAATGAGGCTGTTTGTCCGTGACACGAAATGATTTGGAGGACAAGGACTTTTGCAGGTTTTGACAAACTCGGACTCAAAGGATAAGTCTTCCAAAGGAATCAGGAGTGTCAGGTGGTTGGGCATCTCCCTTTAAAGGAGGAAAGGTTCTCATTGTGATCTCTCCAAACTGGCCCTTGAGGTTACCTTTAAGAGGTAAACTCTGGTTTTGATCCTCTGTAGACGGACCACATGTAGTACTAAACTGCTTCAGTTTCCAGTTGCAATAAGCTGGCAAAGAGAAAGTAAGTGGTTTTCTAGATCTACAGAAATACATCTAGAATAGTGGTTCCTTTCACTGGTTTTGTTACCATTTCTTGCCCTTACCTGGTTTTCTTTTCTATACTTATTTTCTTATCTATACTTCTTTTCTAAGTATTTTATAGTTCATTATTATTTGAACTGATGTGTTTAAGATGACTACAGATGGTATGACTTGAGTGCATCAAATTAGGAAATACAGTTTCCTGTTCATCCAAGATGCACCTCATCATTTCCACTAGAGTTGACAGACTCTACCTGCACTGCAGAAGACTAATTGAAACTCGGATATACTGTTGTGTGAGTGTTCTTTTTGACTTAAAAATTCTAATCAGGTGTAGAAGAGACAGTTCAGTGAACTGGCAGATATGCTCTTATATCTGGCAGGATTTGTTCTGACTTGTTGGCAAAGAATTCATTATATTCACTCTTCAATTGTCCCCAAAGCCCTCTTTCAATCTTTTTACCACATAGGTGAGCAATTTCTAGAACATTTAAGAAAGAGAAACAGTGGCTGTGGACTACATAAATAATAGGAATATTGTCTTTTCTATTGAGATAAAACAAGCCATTATGTTTGGGTATGGGTGGCTGTGGCATTTAAATAGAGGGCCTAAGTGAAATCCTTATCAAACATTCTGTTCAATCATGAACCCAACTTCAACCACAGAGCATTGACATGTGAATCACAAGAAGGCAAAATAAAGTTTGTCTGAATGGAGCTTTATTTCATTTTCTTTGCTCCAGCTGACAAAGCTGCTGCTCCAATCACCTCGGATCCCAGGCACTTTAAACTCCACTCCATCTAGTTAGTTCGCTTCTCAATTGAGTTTGACCCATGTGGACCAAGGATTATAAAGACAAACATCACCTGTAGAACCCAGTATCTATTGAAGGAGACATTTCTACAACCAGGTTGTTCTGTATTGCTGATGAAGCCAGACTGCTCATCATACCAGCTGCTACACCCACAACAAAGCATTTGAAATATAAACAAGATGGTGAGCCAGATCTTTCCAATCATGGTGGAGTGTTTGTGAATTTCCTCCAGAATACCCCCAAGGAAATTCTAGCCCCCCATATTTATTAGTTAAGGTGCACTGGTAGCGTAGTGGTTACAAATCCAGCTTCGAACCGCATGGTCAATTGTTCCGCAGGAGAAACATGAGGCTTTCTGTTCCCATAAAGATTTACAGCCTTGGAAACCCTGTACAGGGTCGCTATGAGTCGGAATCGACTCCACGGCACATAACCACCACTACCATATTTACTAGTTGGGTCTTGTTAAGTGCCAAGTGCCGTCGAGTCAGTTCTGACCTATAGCAAACCTTTATAGGGTTTCCAAGGAGCAGCTGGTGAGCTTGAACCACCAACCTTGCAATGCAAACTGACTTTTCAGTCCAGTGCATTAACCCACAGCACCACACCAAGACTCCATTAGTTAGGCCTGCTGCTTGTTGTTAAGTGCTGTCAAGTCGCTTCCGACCCTGTCAATTAGAGACAGGTAGCTTCCTCTATTCTAATGAGAATGCTGTTTCTTAAAGTAAACCTATGACCAAAATCTGAACAGAACATCAGTCTAAGTTTACTGCTTGCTTTACCTTTTCCCAAGACAGCAGCGATAATCTGTTGTTCTTAGTTGCCACGGAGTCAATTCAGACTCATGGCAACCTTAACAGAAGTTGCCCAGTCCTGCACCAATACTCTGTTACTGGGAAAGATATTTAAGATGGGTCAGGAATTTAAACTCACTCATGTTTAGACCTCATAATGCAATTTTTCTTAAGTGCCACCTAAGGAAGGGATTGTCTATATTCTCTACTAAGAATAGAATTCTTGGGATTTTCTATTTTAAAATAATAATAATAAAAAGTTTCTTACATGGCTTATGGGAAGTTTATCCTTTTTGTTTTTTAAACTAGGAGTTTGGGACTGTTTTCCTAAAACTACTGGCTTGATCTTATAAATCTATTAACTAAGGTTGTGTTGTTGGAAGAATTTCAGCCAGACTGTTCCTTAAATGGAGGATGATGAGACTTGGTCTCATAGTCTTTGGACATGTTATCAAAAGGAACCAGTCCCTAGAAAAGGACAACATACTTGGTAAAGCAGAGGGTCAGTGACTGCGGTGCTTGTGAGGATGACGCAGGACTGGGCAGTTTTTTGTTCTGTACTATATGGGGTTGCTACAAGTCAGAACCAACTCAATGGCACCTAAAAACATGGTGCTAGTGCTAGTTGCCAGCAAGTCCATTGCATCTTATGGTGATGCATGTGTATAGAAAAGAACTGATCCATAAGGATTTTTAAGCCTTCCAGAAGCAGGTCACCAGGCTTTTCTTCCCAGGTACCTCTGGAAGGATTTGAACCACCAACCTTTGAATTATAGTCAGGTGCTTACCATTTGTGCCACATAGGGAATATGTTTTGTGAAAGTTATAGCCAAAGGCAGTGATTTTTAAATTTTATTTATACACAAAGGAAAATGAATTTTATAGTTTATTAATACAACCAGAAGAAACATCTGGCTGTTGCTGTAGAAATTTTGATCCGTCTTCAAAATCCACATTTGAATGTTCAGATTTTGTTATCTTTCTAGCAGATTTTGAGCATTTCCAGAAATTCATTTCAATAACATTTAAGAATGTATATAAAATTTTTATTACACTTTGCTATGAAAAATTTTGGGAAGTTTTATCATGTTAAAAGGAATTCCAAAAACTCTCAACTATTTTGATGTAACAGAATTTTATCACTCATTACCTGAAATAATAGATCATTGGTATAGTGGAGGTATTATAGAAATTTTCATGGTAGCAATATTTGATCTACTTAAAACATGTAGTTAGCTAATTTGGAGGTGACAGTGGGGCACGTTATAATTTAGCTTCTAGTAGATTTCATATTAAAATTTATATCCTGCGCTTTCAAAGACAAACAGAGTGAATGTTTTCATTTAAAAATTAAATGTATGTCGTATGGTCTTATTTAAAGGGTAATGTAATACAATCAAAATACTAGGATAATATAACTACAAAATATGTTCATTACTAAAATCC